TGGGGCTGGGGGCGCAGGGTGTGGGGGAGAAGCTCCTGGGAGCTGGTTTTTGTGGGGAGAAGCCCGGGGCTCGGGGCTGGGGCAGGCGGTGAGCTGGAAATGGAGATACCGAGGGTCAGTGTGGGGCACCCCTCACCACCCACCCTCCTCCTCACGTCCTGCTGGCACCTGGCTTTTCCAGCCAGGGTTTCCCAGGCTGTGGGTTAATCACCTTGGGAATTTTGGCCAAACCCCTACCTTTTCTCACCCCCTCTTTTCCCATTTCAGCTGGATCAGCTCCCTGAGCAGCCCAACCCCAGGGAAAGGAGCCCAAAGGAGAGCCAGGAGCTGTAAGGTGGGGTGGCACCGGCCATGAGGGGGGGTGGGGGTCCCTGGGCCCCAGCATGCCTGTACTCACAGAGGGAGGAGCAGCGGCACGGGTCGTGCTTGTCCAGGTAATGTTCCAGTGTGTCCCAGCCGCCGCCAACCCGCACCATCACGTGGCTCCTCAGCACCTGCAGACAGCTCATCACCAGGACATGGCCCAAGGGGGACCATTCCTGGGGAGGGGAACAAAGGGGCCCCCAGGTCCCCAACATGGGGCACCTTGTGCGGAGTAAATTCAACCCAGGGCCCACCCCACCATGAGGTCCCTCAGGACAGGGTCCCACCATGCCAAAGGAGGAGAGTGGGGAGTCCCGGTGAGGGGCAGGGGGACGATGGGACGAGGGGCGCGGTGGCGGCTCTTACTCGGACGAAGATGAGGGTGCTGGAGTCGCCCACTTTGTATTTACCCTCGGAGACCTTGACCATGGGGAACTGGGAGGGGCAGGAGCAGCAGCCCAGGATCTCACGCCCCTGCCAGCAGAGCGGGGAGAGGTCTGTGGGGCGCGGACCCCCAACTATAAGGCCAGCCCCTATGGATATTGTGCAGGCAGAGGGCCCACAGAGGTGAGGAGCCAGCTTGGTCCTGGCCTGGCAGCTCCCCTCCTCCTGCCCATGCTTGCCCCCGTGGGCAGCACCGCTGCCTGTACCTGCTGGGAAGCAGCTGGGTGGGTTTGTGTGGGAGCCCAAGCCAGCAGCTCCCACCGCAGCCCCGGGCAGTGGGGAGCACCCACAGCACCCACACACCGTGGGAGAGAGGCCCAGGGGGCTTCCCACGGCCAGCCACCCTTGTGCAGGCTGAGAACAAGCACAACTCACTTCATCTGCCGCCAGCCCCACTCCCCGGAGCCCACCTGCTCTGGGACCCCTGGGTGTGGGGAGCTCAGAGCCACCCCAAAAATGGGAAAGAGAAGGGAACACACCCCCCCGCCCTGCCAACCCTCAACCACGGGGGATTTGCCCCCCCCAAGCACCCAGCTGTGGGCCAGGGACCTCCAGTGCCCCACTGCACCCCACAGCCACCAACAGAAAAGGCTTAAAGCCCTGTATTTTTTTTTTGCACCCCCCAAACTTTGACATCTGGCACCGACAAAAAGCCAGAGGAAAGGTCTGGGGGGGCCAGCCAGGGGACCCCCCATCTCCATGGGGCTGCTGGAGCAGCCGTCCTGCCTGCAGCCTGGCCGGGGCTGACGTCAGGGATTAGGCAGGAGGCGTGGGGGGAGGGCGGGGC